TAGGACCGTTTTTAGGGCCCACCGAATCGCGCTACCCCACACGTCGCGCCGCCCTGTTCGCGCCGCGCTGCCCTGCCCTGCGTTGCGCTGCCCCGCGCACGCCCTGCCCTGCGCCCTGCCCTGCCCGCGCGCCGCTTGCCGCCGCGCGCCCTGCCCTGCCCGCGCGTCGCTCGTCACCGCGCCGCCTGCCCTGCCTGCGCGCGGCTCGCCGCCGCGTCGCCCTGCCCGCGCGCCGCTCGCCGTCGCGCGCCCTGCCCGGCCTGCGCGCCGCTCGCCATCGCGCGCCCTGCCCGGCCCGCGCGCCGCTCGTCGCCGCGCGCCCTGCCCTGCCCGCGTGCAGCTCGTCGCCGTGCGCCCTGCCCTGCCCGCGCGCAGCTCGCCGCCGCGCGCCCTGCCCTGCCCGTGCGCATCTCGTGGCCGCGCGCCCTGCTCTGCCCGCGCGCAGCTCGCGGCCGCGCGCCCTGCTCTGCCCGCGCGCAGCTCGCGGCCGCGCGCCCTGCTCTGCCCGCGCGCAGCTCGCCGCCGCGCGCCCTGCCCTGCCCGCGCACAGCTCACCGCCGCGCCGCCTGCCCTGCCTGCGCGCCGCTCGCCGCCGCGCTGCAGCCCTGCCCGCGCGCCCTGCCCTGCCTGGGCGCCGCTCGCTGCCGAGCCGCCCTGCCCGCGCGCCGCTCGCCGCCGCGCGCCCTGCCCTGCCCGCGCGCCGCTCGCCGTCGCGCCGCCCCGCCCTTCCGTGCGCCGCCCCGACCTACCCTCGTGCCCGCTATGGCGTCTCTTTGTGGTAGCGGTGGGAGTGGTGGCGACGGCCGTCGTGACAGTCTAGGTGGAGCTATTCGGTGGGGAGTCTCTGGCGGTGGCCAGCTGCAGCTCCAGCGGCGTCCGCGCGAGACCCTCACGCCCCAGCAGCTTCGTGAGTGGTACGCTAGTTGGGGTAGTGGCGGTGGCCGTAGTGGCACTCGCCATGGAGCTGGTCAGAGGGGAGCTTCTGGCGGTGGCCAGATGCAGCTGCAGCGGCGTCCGCGCGAGACCCTTATGCCCCAGCAGCTTCGTGAGTGGTTCACTCAGCGTGGGGCGTCTTGGAGTAGTGCTCCCTGCCCGTACGTCATTCGCACAGGTGATCGGGCTGGTCAGACTTGCGGGACACCTGGTCACACACAGTCCCGCTGCTTCTCCTGTTTGAGCGACACCTAGCGTGCAGAGTTTGGCGACGCGGCTGAGCTCCCCCGCTGGCTAGAGCTGCTTAGGTAGGGTGTGGATATATTTGCACTAGACTATGACGCTATCCTTATTGCCATGTATGCTTTGACTATTAGTACTCAGGGTGACTGCTACCTGTGTGTGCCGCCAGACCCTGGTATAGAGGCTGCTGCTCTACGTACTGGTGGTGCTGCTGCTGCTGGAGGTGCTGGAGCTGTAGGTCCCGGAGGTGCTCGTACTGGAGGTACTGGAGCTGCCGGAGCTGGTGGTGCTGCTGCAACTGGAGGTACTAGAGGTGCTGGCGGTACAGGAGTTGCTGGAGGTGCTGGAGGTGCTGGAGCTGGTGGTGCTGCAGGTGCTGGAGCTGGAGACCCTGGAGCTGGAGGTGCTGGCGCTGGGGGTGCTGGAGCTGTCGGTACTGGTGCTGGAGGCACTGTGCAGCGGCGACTGTTTTTCGTTCCGCCGTCGCCGTCGTCTCTGCCGCCACCTGGCTCGGCACTTCGTCAGGTTCTTAGTCTTCCGTCTTCTACTGGCCTTACTCCTCCCTTGCTGTGTCCACCGCCTGACCAGTCGCAGCCACAGCTACAGCCAGACTCCCCACTGCCTGCTCCTTCTCCTTACACTGAGCAGTCAGACTCTCTTACAGAGCAACGTGAGCCTGCGTCTCGCCCTGCCTCGCCTGTTCGCGCTGGTCGCACTGGTAGTCGTGTTCCGCGTCCGCGTCCTCCTCCTGTCTCCGGCACGCACCATATGGCACTTCGTCCTTCCTCTGTTCCACTGCGTGTCCCTCTGCCGTCTCCTCCTGCGTCCTCTCTTGCTGACGGACCGGACCCTGGGTCTGACCTCCTTCGTGCTGCTAGTTCTACTGTCACGCGTCTTCTGGCCACTGTGTCACTGACCCTTCGTTTGAGTCCACTGCTGCATCTGCCCTAGTTGGTGAGCTTGTTGAATTTGCTGCTGCCTGTCGTCTCGACTACGCCGCTAGTCTTGTTGCTGAGTCTGAGTCTGTCTGTCCTCCGTCCGTCGGGGGTGAGTGTGCTCTTAGCACGGACGTCCTTGAGGACACGCAGGAGGACTTTGAGTGTTTTGCAGCTGCTGTACCTCATCTCGTGTCCATGCTGATTGCACTTGAGGGAGACCCGGATGCACCAGACATCCTGACCCCGCGCTCTTACGCAGAGGCGATTACGGGTCCCTACTCCTCTCAGTGGCAGACATCCATGGACGTAGAGATGGCATCCTGGAAGTCCACAGGCACTTACGTCGACGCAGTTCCCCCTCCTTGGGCGAACATAGTCGATGGCATGTGGATCTTCAGGGTGAAGCGGCCGCCAGGTTCTTCGCCTGCCTTCAAGGCTCGTTACGTCGCACGAGGCTTCAGTCAGCGACAGGGAGTTGACTTCTTCCAGACCTCCCCTACCCCGAAGATGACTACTCTTCGGGTACTGCTGCACGTCGCCGCTCAGCGCGACTACGAGCTTCACTCTCTTGACTTCAGCACAGCTTTCTTACAGGGCAGCCTGCACGAGGAGATCTGGCTGCGCCGCCCACCTAGCTTCACTGGGTCGTTTCCTGCAGGTACCCACTGGAGCCTCCGGCGGCCAGTCTACGGTCTCCGCCAGGCCTCGCGAGTGGCACGACACACTGAGGACGACGCTTGCGGCTCTTGGGTTTGCTCCTTCGACTGCTGACCCGTCGCTGTTTCTACGCACCGACACTTCGCTGCCGCCGTTCTACATCCTCGTGTACGTCGACGACTTGGTCTTTGCCACTGCTGACACTGAGGGACTGGCCCTAGTGAAGTCGGAGCTGCAGAAGAGACACACGTGCACAGACCTGGTTGAGTTGCGTAGCTATCTTGGCTTGCGGATCACCCGGGACAGATCACGGCGCACCCTTTCCTTGACTCAGTCACACATGGTGCAGCAGGTCCTTCAGCGCTTCGACTTCCAGTACTCCTCGCCACAGTCCACTCCTCTGCCTACCGGTCACTCGCTCTCAGCTCCACCTTCGGACGAGTCCGTAGAACCGAGTGACCCGTATCCAGAGCTTGTGGGCTGCCTCATGTACCTGATGACCTGCACTCGACCTGACCTAGCCTACCCTCTTAGCATCCTGGCACGCTACGTTGCGCCCGGGAGACACCGACCAGAGCACTGGGAGGCCGCTAAGAGGGTGTTGCGCTACTTGTGCAGTACGTCGGGCATGGGGCTCGTGCTTGGAGGACAGGGTCCGGTTGTCCTCACTGGACACGCAGACTCTTCTTGGGTTGACGACTTGGCTACGCAGCGGTCCTCACAGGGTTACACTTTCAGCCTTGGCTCCGGCTCTGTTTCTTGGCGGTCTACCCGCTCGTCTTTTGTTCTCAGCTCCAGTTGTGAGGCTGAGATCTACGCAGGGGCCATGGTTGCACAGGAGTTACGCTGGCTCACCTACCTGCTGACTGACTTGGGAGAGTCGCCTCGTTCTCCTCCAGTTCTGTACGTTGACAACAAGGCCATGATTGCCTTGTGTCAGGAGCACAGACTGGAGCACATGACGAAGCACATCGCTCTGCGTTGCTTCCCTGCTCGAGAGTTGCAGCAGCGTGGTCAACTTCGTCTTGCTGACGTGGCCTCTCGGGCCAACACTGCTGATATCTTCACCAAGGCACTTCAGCCTTGTGATCATCAGCGTTTCTGTACTGTTTTAGGCCTTGTGCCTACTTGACCTCACTTGCTTACTTCTTGACTTTGCTTGTACTGTGATCTATATACTTATACCTGCATGCTTACACTTGTTAGGTTTTGATCACTGTACTGCTTGTTCTCCATTATATAACTCGGCATGTGAACTGGCCTTGTGGCCATTTGGTTGTGCTCAGAGTGTGTGGTGACTTCGTGATCCACCCTGAGCTTGCTTTGCTTTTCTTGACTGGCCTTGTGCAGGGCTAATTTTATCAGTGTAAATCACTTTGATTCACTGATAATCAGGGTGGTTTTTTGTAGTCACACTGATGCCTTAGGGTAAATTATTCTGGAGCTTAGATTTTCCTGATATGTCAGGGTTTACGTTTAAGGCACACTGTCGCCCCAGGGTTACCGTTCTTCTAAGCGAGTTTTACCCTGAAGCGAATACCACACCCCCCCCCAACCCGCCCCCGTAGTTCTGTCCCCCTAATTAGAAATACAGTAAGACATCATGTTGTTCGAATTGTCACGTTGAAGTGGCCTGGTCAGTAGATTGGTCTTTGGAAGGTTGAAGACTCGGGTTCAAATCCTGGACCCTGTCTTCTTGTTCCGAACTTCAGTAGAAACACTTCATCAGGGTTCTGAAAATTGTTACACTGTAGCCTTAGGGTAAAGTTTTTGAAATTATGGAAAACCCTGATGGAAAAGAATTTTCCCAAGGGGTCACATTGATAATCAGGGTTTTGCAAAGATGCATGATTGATAATAAGGGTTGCTTAAAACCAAAAATTCACCCTGGTCTTGTGACCTCTTGTTCTCCCCCACTTTGCCTATGGGGGTGTGTCAAACTTATATGTTGCATGTTGTGTAGGCTGTAGTGGGGTAGCCCATATGGGGTACAACCCAATTAGAGTTTGGTACTTGTACTTCTGGATCAGGGCTCTGGTTATCAGACCAAATCGGTCTGATGGTCTGAAAATCATACATGCTTGTTTCGTTTCATCTGATTTCCTAGACCAGCATTTTAATTTCATCTGAACCATAAGACGGAGGTTTTTATTTCGTCTGAAAAATAAGACTGACTGTTATATTTCGTCTGACATTTCAGACATCGCGTATAAGTTCATATGAAACCGACTAAGTATCGAAGTAGCCCCCCTCCCTCCCCCCCCCCACCTTCTTTCCCCTCCCCTCTCCTTCCCCATGCTCCCTGGAGTCCCTCACCCCTCCAGTGCCTCTACACCAGTCCAGTCCCCCCGCAATCCCTCGCTCCTCTACCAGTCCAGCCCCCCCCCCGCGATCCCTCGCTCCTACAGTCCAGCCCCCCCGCAATCCCTCGCTCCTACAGTCCAGCCCCCCCGCAATCCCTCGCTCGTACAGTCCAGCCCCCCCGCAATCCCTCGCTCCTCTACCAGTCCAGCCCCCCGTCACCCCCTCCCCCAGCCCGTCGCTCCTCACCAGCCCTAGTCCTTCCCTGGTCCCTCTAGTCTGACAGATACACAGTAGAAAGACACAGCCCCTCGCAGCCCAACTCCCCCCCCCCCCCCTCATTCTCCCAGTCCCTCTCGTCACCTAACTTGCTACGCATGTCTTCTAGCGGGCTGTCGGCGCCACCAGCGAATTCAAAATTTGGTCGAACGGTGTACTGTTGGCTAAATCAGACCATGCTAAACAATTCGTCTGAATAATCAGACATAGCTCCACAATTCGTCTGAAAATTCCGACTAAGAAAAAATGGCCATCTGAACGTCAGACGAAACATTTTTTTTTTTTTTTTTTCAGACTGGCCTAAATCCTAGCAAGAGCCCTGTTCTGCATGCTGTTAGTTTCACCATTCTCGCTTTTACATTATAACAGGATTCTGACATGCTATCAGAGCGAAGGTCTCGGGTTCGAATCCCAGTGTGTGCACTTCGGGCATCCCAGTGTGCGGGGGGGTGTCAGAGGTCCACTGGTGATCCTCGATTGATCCTAGGGAAGGGTTACAGGCTTGCTGGCCTGGGGGGTTATGGGCGCACTGACCCGCTACTTAACAAGCTCTTTTATCCCAGTTGTTAGTGGCTGGGATTCTAACAGAATCTTGTGGTGTGAAAGGGCGAATCTGCAATGTCATGTGGAATTGTTTTGTGATTGGACGAAGTTGTTGTGCTCTGACGGCGCAAATCTGTGGTGTCAGAGCAATTTTGCTGTGATTGGGCGAAATTTTGTGCTGTAAGGCGCGGATTTGCTGTGTCAAAGCGATTTTGCGTTCACAGTGCGAATCTGCTGTGACCCATGAAGTCCGAATCACCAGTCAAGATCGTGTTTGTACTCTGAATGATCAGAGTACACTCCCGGAAAACTCTGAAATTTCAGAGTTAGCCTTAAAAAAAATTGAAACTTTCAGAGTTGAGGCCCTAAAAAGTCTGAAATTTACAGAGTACACTGGAAAAAAAATCTGAAATATCAGAGTTTTTAGGCCAAATCAGAGAAAAGAGTCTGACTTCTAAGGGCCTGGCCACAGGCCCAGTTCCTGCTAGGATACACGATTTTCTGGTGTATTTCTAGTATTTGCTTTGCTAGACCAGGGCTAATTTTATCAGGGTAAATCACCCTGATACCCTAATAATCAGGGTGGTTTTTGGCTGTCACACTGATGCCTTAGGGTAATTTTTTCAGGAGCTTGTATTTTCCTGATAGGCCAGGATTTACGTTTAAGGTACACTGACGGCCCAGGTTTACCGATCTTCGTAACGAGCTTTACCCTTAATCGAGTACATACCCTCCCCAAGGCTGATCACAAGGGTTGCTGAAAACTAAAAACTGGCCCTGTGCTAGACCCAGCTTTTGGGTTGTTGACGTGGCTATGCTACTTTGTTTGTTAAGCCCTGTATAGGAAAGGAAACCATAACATATTCGCTGTCAGTTCTCTTTCATAATCTTACAGTACTTTTTAGCAACATACTGAATACAGCGTATAACGCTATTTCAAATGTTTTTTGAGTAGGTTGTATAGGCCTAAGGATGTTACAACTTCTACACCCAGCAACTCTTGCAGTTCTCCATCCACTCTGTATTGAGCCAGCCGCCCTCCTCCCTCCACCTTCTCCCCTTGCTCCTTGATTCGCTGCCACACCTGCTGACCCGCCTCCTTGAGAGTTATGCTGTCACGCTACAGGAAAAGTAGAGGGAGGGGGTATACGGATGATGGATGGATAGATCATAGGGCAGATGGATGGATGGATGATGGATAGGTGCACATAGAGAGTGACGATGGATGAATGATGGATGGATGGATGGATGGATGGATGGATGGATGGATGGATGGATGGATGGATGGATGGATGGATGGATGGATGGATGGATGGATGGATGGATGGATGGATGGATGGATGGATGGATGGATGGATGGATGGATGGATGGATGGATGGATGGATGGATGGATGGATGGATGGATGGATGGGTGCACATAGAGAGTGATGATGCACGGAATGCATCCATGCCAAACTCCTAACTCCCAATCCTTCCCCTCGGGCCCTCACCTCTAGTCCCAAAAACTGCTTGAGCATGGGAGATGGTTGTCTAGCAGGGGCCTCTCCTTTCCCTGAGCTAGTACCGTACCATCCTCGTTTCCACCACCTCCTACCCCACCTAATTGGTTGGATGGATCAATCCCCAAACCCCTGTGCCCTCACCTCTAGTCCCAGAAACTGCTTGAGTATTGGGGATGGTTGTCTAGCAGGGGCCTCTCCTTTCCCTGAGCTACTACCAGCCTCGTTTCCATCACCTCCTGCTGTGGCCTTCACTGTTGCTCCTTTTTGTTTTGCTGCTCGACCTACTCCCACTGCTCCTGCTGCTCCCACTGCTCCTGGTGCTCCCGCTGCTCCTGCTGCTCCCGCGGCTTCTGCTGCCCCTGTTCCTGCCCCTGCTACTCTTGCTGTTTTTTTTGCTGCTCCTCCTCCTTTTCCTGCTGAGTCCTGCTCTGCTTCATCCTGCGGCGACCTGTCCCCCTCACTATCAACAAGCTCCATATGCTGCGATACCAGCTTCTGCAGGCCGAAAAAATGGGCCGAGTCAACCCCGAAAAGGGCCCTCAGCTTGTCATCAAAGGCTGCTGAGTTGGGTCCAGCCTGAAGGTTGTTGGCTTTAATGTAGTTCCACACAAGGGTCGTTGCTTCGAGGATGCTCAGCTGCTCGTGCTGTGAGATGGGGAATGGAGGGAGGGAGGGAGGGAGGGAGGGAAGGAGGGAGGGAGGGAGGGAGGGAGGGAGGGAGGGAGGGAGGGAGGGAGGGAGGGAGGGAGGGAGGGAGGGAGGGAGGGAGGGAGGGAGGGAGGGAGGGAGGGAGGGAGGGAGGGAGTGAGGCAAGTGGCACAGAGAGCCCTCAGCCTGTCATCAAAGGCTGCTGTGTTGGGTCCCGGCTTGAAGGCTGTTGGCCTTAATGTAGCTCCACACGAGGCTCGTTGCCTCAAGAATGCTCAGCTGCTCGTGCTGTGAGAAGGGGAGGGAGGGAGAGAATATGAGGAAAATCACGGGGAACAGTTGTGCTGAGTTGGGTCCGGCTTGAAGGTTGTTGGCCTTGACGTAGTTTTACACGAGGCTCGTCGCTTCAAGAATGCTCAGCTGCTCGTGCTGTGAGAAGGGGAGGGAAGAGGTAGGTGGAGGGGAGGGGATGAAAGAGCGCCCTCAGCCTGTCATCAAAGGCTGCTGAGTTGGTGCGGCTTGAAGGTTGTTGGCCTTGACGTAGTTTTACACGAGGCTTGTTGCTTCAAGGATGCTCAGGTGCTCGCGCTGTAGGAGGGGAGGTCTGGAGAGGAGGGGAGAGGGGGAAAAGAGATGGGGAGAACTCCAGTTGCTCCCTTGCTCCTAGAATTTGGTACCAACCATGTTCAACCGATCTCAAACGATCTCAACCGTTCCCAACCATTCTCCACCCAAACTGCTCTCACTCACCTTCCCAATGATCTCTTTCAGTTGCTCGGATGGCCGTATAGGAAGCGGCCTTCTGAGAAGCCCGTCTGAGAAGGCCGGGTCAGACGCACCAGCTCAGTTGCTTCCTCGCCTAATAAAGGTTTCCTTACCAACTCCTATATTCCATACCAACCATTTTCAACTGCTTTGAATCGTTCTTAACCCAAACAGCACCCACTCACCTCCTTCCCGATGATCTCCTTCAGTTGCTCAGACGGCCTTCTGGGAAGCTGCTTCAGACGAATAAGCTCCGATCCTCCCTTGCTTGCTCTGACATAATTGCTCTGTTTCCCTACTTTAGCAGCTTCCTTGCCCAGTTTAGAAGCTTCCTTTTCCACTTGAGAAGCTTCCTTCCCCACTTGAGAAGCTTCCTTCACCACTTGAGCAGCTTCCTTCCCCACTTCAGAAGCTTCCTTTCCCACTTTGGAAGCTTTCTTCCCCACGTGAGCAGCTTCCCTCCGCACTTCAGAAGCTTCCTTCACCACTTGAGAAACTTTCCTCCCCGCTTCAGCAACTTCCTGCATGTGTGGTAGCAGCAGCCCCGGCACTTTCGTGGAATGCGCCCCGTCAACCCCAAAGGGAGCCCCATCAACGCTTTCAGCAATCAGAGCACCGTCAGAGCTCTCAACTTCCTTCATGTGCGGCAGCAGCAGTCCCGGCACTTTAGTGGAATGCGCCGAGTCAACCCCAAAGAGGCCCCTCAGCCTGTCGTCAAAGGCTGCTGTGTGGCTTCCCGTCTTGAGGTTGTGTGCTTTCACATAGTCCCACACTAGCCGTGTTGCTTCGAATATGCTCAGCTGCTCAAGCTGAGGGAGGGGAGGGGTGGGAAGGGAGGCCATAGAACAGGGAGGGGAAGGGACTGGTCTTGAGGTTGTGAGCTTTCACAAGTCCCACACTAGCCGTGTTGCTTCGAATATTCTCAGCTGCTCGTGCTGAGGGAGGGGAGGGGTGGGAAGGGAGGCCAGTAGAACAGGGAGGGGAAGGGACTGGTCTTGAGGTTGTGAGCTTTCACATAGTCCCACACTAGCCGTGTTGCTTCGAATATTCTCAGCTGCTCGTGCTGAGGGAGGGGAGGGGTAGGAAGGGAGGCCAATAGAACAGGGAGGGGAAGGGACTGGTCTTGAGGTTGTGTGCTTTCACATAGTCCCACACTAGCCGTGTTGCTTCGAATATTCTCAGCTGCTCGTGCTGAGGGAGGGGAGGGGTGGGAAGGGAGGCCAGTAGAACAGGGAGGGGAAGGGACTGGTCTTGAGGTTGTGTGCTTTCACATAGTCCCACACTAGCCGTGTTGCTTCGAATATTCTCAGCTGCTCGTGCTGTGGGAGGGGAGGGGTGGGAAGGGAGGCCAGTAGAACAGGGAGGGGAAGGGACTGGTCTTGAGGTTGTGAGCTTTCACATAGTCCCACACTAGCCGTGTTGCTTCGAATATTCTCAGCTGCTCGTGCTGAGGGAGGGGAGGGGTGGGAAGGGAGGCCAGTAGAACAGGGAGGGGAAGGGACTGGTCTTGAGGTTGTGTGCTTTCACATAGTCCCACACTAGCCGTGTTGCTTCGAATATTCTCAGCTGCTCGTGCTGAGGGAGGGGAGGGGTGGGAAGGGAGGCCAGTAGAACAGGGAGGGGAAGGGACTGGTCTTGAGGTTGTGTGCTTTCACATAGTCCCACACTAGCCGTGTTGCTTCGAATATTCTCAGCTGCTCGTGCTGAGGGAGGGGAGGGGTGGGAAGGGAGGCCAGTAGAACAGGGAGGGGAAGGGACTGGTCTTGAGGTTGTGTGCTTTCACATAGTCCCACACTAGCCGTGTTGCTTCGAATATTCTCAGCTGCTCGTGCTGTGGGAGGGGAGGGGTGGGAAGGGAGGCCAGTAGAACAGGGAGGGGAAGGGACTGGTCTTGAGGTTGTGTGCTTTCACATAGTCCCACACTAGCCGTGTTGCTTCGAATATGCTCAGCTGCTCGTGCTGAGGGAGGGGAGGGGTGGGAAGGGAGGCCAGTAGAACAGGGAGGGGAAGGGACTGGTCTTGAGGTTGTGTGCTTTCACATAGTCCCACACTAGCCGTGTTGCTTCGAATATTCTCAGCTGCTCGTGCTGTGGGAGGGGAGGGGTGGGAAGGGAGGCCAGTAGAACAGGGAGGGGAAGGGACTGGTCTTGAGGTTGTGTGCTTTCACATAGTCCCACACTAGCCGTGCTGCTTCGAATATTCTCAGCTGCTCGTGCTGAGGGAGGGGAGGGGTGGGAAGGGAGGCCAGTAGAACAGGGAGGGGAAGGGACTGGTCTTGAGGTTGTGTGCTTTCACATAGTCCCACACTAGCCGTGTTGCTTCGAATATTCTCAGCTGCTCGTGCTGAGGGAGGGGAGGGGTGGGAAGGGAGGCCAGTAGAACAGGGAGGGGAAGGGACTGGTCTTGAGGTTGTGAGCTTTCACATAGTCCCACACTAGCCGTGTTGCTTCGAATATTCTCAGCTGCTCGTGCTGAGGGAGGGGAGGGGTGGGAAGGGAGGCCAGTAGAACAGGGAGGGGAAGGGACTGGTCTTGAGGTTGTGAGCTTTCACATAGTCCCACACTAGCCGTGTTGCTTCGAATATTCTCAGCTGCTCGTGCTGAGGGAGGGGAGGGGTGGGAAGGGAGGCCAGTAGAACAGGGAGGGGAAGGGACTGGTCTTGAGGTTGTGAGCTTTCACATAGTCCCACACTAGCCGTGTTGCTTCGAATATTCTCAGCTGCTCGTGCTGAGGGAGGGGAGGGGTGGGAAGGGAGGCCAGTAGAACAGGGAGGGGAAGGGACTGGTCTTGAGGTTGTGTGCTTTCACATAGTCCCACACTAGCCGTGTTGCTTCGAATATTCTCAGCTGCTCGTGCTGAGGGAGGGGAGGGGTGGGAAGGGAGGCCAGTAGAACAGGGAGGGGAAGGGACTGGTCTTGAGGTTGTGTGCTTTCACATAGTCCCACACTAGCCGTGTTGCTTCGAATATGCTCAGCTGCTCGTGCTGAGGGAGGGGAGGGGTGGGAAGGGAGGCCAGTAGAACAGGGAGGGGAAGGGACTGGTCTTGAGGTTGTGTGCTTTCACATAGTCCCACACTAGCCGTGTTGCTTCGAATATGCTCAGCTGCTCGTGCTGAGGGAGGGGAGGGGTGGGAAGGGAGGCCAGTAGAACAGGGAGGGGAAGGGACTGGTCTTGAGGTTGTTGGCTTTCACATAGTCCCACACTAGCCGTGTTGCTTCGAATATGCTCAGCTGCTCGTGCTGTGGGATGGGGGGGGGGAGAGTATTAGGAAGGGAGGGGAGTGGAGGAGAGGTAAGGTGGTGATGGGGGTGAGTGGTGAGGGGTTTTTTACCTCAGCTTGCTGTGGGGAATCCTGAATTCAGAGCCCTAATTCAGAGCCCTAATTCAGAGCCCTAATGAGTCGACTCAAAAATCGTCTCATCACACGAGGCTTTTTACCTCAGGTTGGTGTTGGGAATCCTGAATTCAGAGCCCTAAGAAATTGATTCTCTCACAACCGTCGTTCAGCACTATTCTCAACCGTTCTTAACTGCTCTCAACAATTTTCAACCGCTCTTAACCCACACCACACAGACCTGCTTCCCAATTATCCCCTTCACCTGTTCCCCACTGTTAGCTGTCAATCCACACTCACCTCCGTCTGCAAAGCCGCTAAGAACGTAAGGAAAGAGAAGATCTTATGAGAGAGCCACCAAAGGGGCCAAGAATCTTCACACATTCAGCTATTCCCAACTGTTTGTCAATCCACTCTCACCTCCGTCTGCAAAGCTGTCAGTTGAGTCGACTCGAAAGTCAAAAGTCAGTTGAGTCGACTCGAAAGTCAAAAGTCAGTTGAGTCGACTCGAAAGTCAAAAGTCAGTTGAGTCGACTCGAAAGTCAAAAGTCAGTTGAGTCAACTCGAAAGTCAAAAGTCAGTTGAGTCGACTCAAAATTCATCCCCTTCAGCTGTTCCCCACTGTTAGCTGTCAATCCACACTCACCTCCGTCTGCAAAGCCGTTGTGAACGTGCAAGCTCTGCTCCTCCCATGTTTTTGAGTCGACTCAAAAACTGTTGCTGTTCCCAGCTGTTCCTTCAGCTGTTCCCAACTGTTTGTCAATCCACACTCACCTCTTTCTGAAAAGCTGACATTATCTTGCAAGCTCTGCTCCTCCCATGTGTTTGAGTCAACTCAAAAACTGTTGCTGTTCCCAGCTGTTCCTTCAGCTGTTCCCAACTGTTTGTCAATCCACACTCACCTCTTTCTGAAAAGCTGATATTATCTTGCAAGCTCTGCTCCTCCCATGTGTTTGAGTCAACTCAAAAAGTGTTGCTGTTCCCAGCTGTTCCTTCAGCTGTTCCCCACTGTTAGCTGTCAATCCACACTCACCTCCGTCTGCAAAGCCGTTATGAACGTGCAATCTCTGCTCCTCTTGAGTCGACTTTTGAGTCGGCTTTTGAGTCAGCTTTTGAGTCGACTCAAAAGCAAAGCCGTTATAAACATGCAAGCTCTGCTCCGCTTGAGTCGACTTAAACGAACGTGCAAGCTCTGCTCCTCCATGCGTCCTCTCAATTGCTAAATTTCTTGTTCCACTGCTCCTGCTCCCCAACCCATCCCAACCATTCCCAACCGTTTCGAGCCGTTCTCAACCAGCACTCACCTCCTTCCCAGTGATCTCCTTCAGCTGTTCCGACGGCCTTCTGGGAAGCCGGTTCCGACGAGCAAGCTCCTTTTCCAACCCTCCTCAACCGTTTTCAACCGTTCTCAACCCACATCACAATCTCACTTACCTCGTTCCCAGTGATCTCCTTTAGCTGTTCCGACGGCCTCGTGGGAAGCCGGTTCCGACGCGCAACCTCTGCTCCTCCCTTGCTTCCTCTCGATCCCTCAATTCATTGTTCCACTGCTCCCACTCACCGTTCCCAACCGTTCTGATATGTTCACAACCCATGCTTACCTCCTTCCCAATAATGTCCTTAAGCTGTTCCGATGGTCTTCTAGGAAGCCGGTTCCGCCGTGCAACCTCCGCCCCTCCCTTGCTTCCTCTCCGTTCCTGCTGCTCCTGCCCACGTGTAAACTCTTGAGCCGTCCCCCCCCTCCCCTCCCTCTCCTCCGCCTCCTTGCCCTTTTTCACTCTCACTGCCTTCCCTCCTGTCCCTGCGCCACCAGCTCCCATCCCTTCCCCTTTCACCTCCTCCTGCTGCAACGGCTCTCCCTTCTCGTCCTTCCCTGCACTCTTGCTCGCATTTTTACCCGCCTCTTTGCTTGCTCTTTTTCTCGCCTCTTTGGTTGCCTCTTTCCCTGCCCCCTTCCCAGCCTCTGTGCTTGTTTCTGCTGTGCCTGCCTTGCTCCCCTTGCCCTCTTTTGCAGCCTTAGCAGCCTTTTCTGCCTCTTTCCCTGACCCTTTCCCAGCCTCTGTGCTTGTTTCTGCTGCACCCGCCTTGCTCCCCTTGCCCGTCTTTGCAGCCTTAGCAGCCTTCTTCGCAGCAGCCCTCTCTGCCCGTGCCTGCTTCACCTGCAAACGCTCAATGGCGCTCTCTAGAGTCACATCGTCTATACTCACGTTCTGGTGAGGGTGGGAGGGAGGGAGGGAAGAAAAACGGGAGAAGAGAGATTGGGTGTGGGGGTGTAGAGTGATTTCAATAATCCACTCTTATCACGTGGGTAAGGGGATTTGGCTTTGAGACGCCTCAAAAAAGAGATTGGGTGTGAGGGTGTAGTAGAGTGATCTAAAAAAAACACTTTTATCACGTGGGTAAGGGGAGAAGAGAGGGAAGAGAGAGAGAGTGATATCTCAGTATCCCTTCGTCCTCGCAGCAGCTGCCTGCCCTCTCTTCCCTGCCTCTTTGCTTGCTCCATTGCGCGCGCGCCCCTTCGCTTGCCCCTTTGCCGAGATCTAAGAAAAGAAAAGCAGTTAGGCTCTCTGTTCACACCTATCCCCACACCCTTCCTTCTCACCCCCTCATCCTGTTTCACTCTCACCGTGCCCAATGATGCTCTGATGAGCCCCATTCCGGGGTAATCATGCTCCACATAGAAGCCAAAGGGACCGTTGCAGAGCAGCACAGTACATGGTAAACGCTGTTACAGCAAGCAATTCCCTCCCTCACCGTGCCCAGAGATGCTCTGATGAGATGCTCTGATTCCCGTCCCGGGTAATCATGCTCCACATAGAAGCCAGAGCGACCTTTGCAGAGCAGCACAGGACATGGTAAACGCTGTTACAGCAAGCAAGTGCCTATCTCTCACCGTGCCCAAAGATGCCCTATCTCTGACCGTTGCAGAGCAGAGCAGCACAGTGCATGGTAAACGCTGTTACAGCAAGCGATTCTCTCTCTCACCTCACCTTACAGCAGCACAGCACATGGTAAACGCTGTTGCAGAGCAGAGCAGCACAGTGCATCGTAAACGCTGTTACAGCAAGCAATTCTCTCTCTCACCGTGCCCAAAGATGCCCTATCTCTGACCGTTGCAGAGCAGAGCACAACAGTACATGGTAAACGCTGTTACAGCAAGCAATTCTCTCTCTCACCGTGCCCAATGATGCTCTGATGAGCCCGATGTTAGAATCTATATATTATAGCATGCGAACACTTGTGACTGTACACCAAGAGTGGTGTACAGTTGGGTTGGTTCAGGCTCTAGTTTTGGGTGTACTACGGGTAGACACCCTAATTGGGGTGAACCCAAATATCCTAGCTTAGACTTGGCTCCAACCTTGTTGGCCAAGTGGAGCAACCAACTTTGGTTGGTTGGCCACCATCCCACTAGGGTTGGTTGGATGGTCCTTCCTCCCACTAGCCTACTTGGTCTTGGTGTCTTATGTGCTAGGTTTGGTCTTCTTCTCCAACCTTCTCTTCCTTGTATAACCTTGTGCTATTTTGAGCTAATGTTAACAATTCTTCCTCAACTTCCTATAGCTCATAGTTTCTTTCATGGTATTCAGAGCCTAAGGCAAACGCCCTAGATCCTAGGCCTACTCAACCAAAGTAACATTTCTCAACGTAAACCTATTACACCTCAGCTAGAAGCAGCTCGTAGTGCGCCCTCCCACCTTCTCGTCGCGAAATCCCTGCCTGAAATCGCACGGCTCCTTTTACCCGTCACGTAATCCTCTCCTCCAGTGATTTGGAACGTTTTCACCGTCGCGAAGTCCCTGCTAGCAGTCGCGCGGGTCCATTCCACCGTCGCGAAGTCACTGCCAGCAGTCGCGCGGGTCAATTTCACCGTCGCGAAGTCCCTGCCAGCAGTCGCGCGGGTCAATTTCACCGTCGCGAAGTCCCTGCCAGCAGTCGCGCGGGTCAATTTCACCGTCGCGAAGTCCCTGCCAGCAGTCGCGTGGGTCAATTTTACCGTCGCGAAGTCCCTGCCAGCAGTCGCGTGGGTCAATTTTACCGTCGCGAAGTCCCTGCCAGCAGTCGCGCGGGTCAATTTCACCGTCGCGAATCCCTGCCAGCAGTCGCGCGAGTCAATTTCACCATCGCGAATCCCTGGCAGCAGTCGCGCGGATCGTTTTAACCGTTCCGAATCCTCTGCTAGCGGCCGCATTGCTTCATTTGACCGTCGCGACACCTCTGCCAGCAGCTGCGGAGCCCCCCCCTGCCCTTCACGTCACCCCTCCTCGCAGTCGCACGGGCCCCTCCAAGCGTCACGCCACCACTGCCGCCAACCACGCGAGCCTCCCTGCCCATCGTGCTACCTCTTCCAGCACCCACCTGAGCCCTGCAGAGCAACTGCGCGGCCCTCCCCGCAACAGCAGCAGCGGCGTGACCGGACAGTAGCAGCACTTGTGCCCTGGGCAGCAGCAGTAGTGTGACTGGACAGCGGCAGCAGCAGGTCTGGACAGCAGCAGCAGCGTGACTGGACAGCAGCAGCAGCAGGTCTGAACAGCAGCAGCAGCAGCAGGTCTGGGCAGCAGCAGCAGCAGGTCTGGACAGCAGCAGCAGTGTGACTGAACAGCAGCAGCAGCAGGTCTGGACAGCAGCAGCAGCGTGACTGGACAGCAGCAGCAGCGTGACTGGGCAGCAGCAGCAGCGTGACTGGGCAGCAGCAGCAGCGTGACTGGACAGCAGCAGCAGCGTGACTGGGCAGCAGCAGCGGCAGAGCTGAACAGTGGCAGCAGCACTCATGGCGACTGACTCCGTACCTATTGATACTGGCTCCATTGTTCGCCTGGAAGTCCAGGACGGCACTACTGCACTAAATTGGCACCGATTCTCACAGAGCCTCACCGGTGTCCTCCGCTCCACCATTATTGGCGGTGTCAACCTCCACTCCGTTGTCTTTGCCGAACCGGATGGGCTTGAGCCCAAGCCACCTCCTCTCCTTGGTCTTGAACCTCCTCCTCCACCACCCCATCCTGGCGAAGCACCTCGCCCGCCCGATCTCCCTCGCCTCGTTTCTGACAACACCACCAATGCCTCGCGCCTCACCACCTACGCGGAGGAGGTGGCGACACACACGCGACTGGTGGATACCCACAAGGCAGCCCTTGCTGCTCACACCACGACTGCTGCCCTTCATGCGAAGTACACTGCTGATAAGACGTCCTACACCTCCCAGCTGACTGATTTCACTACTCGCCATGCCGCCTGGTGCATTGCCGACACTCGGGCTATTGGCCTCATCAACTCCTGCATCCCGACCTCACTCCAGAGCGAGCTTGACGCCACTTCCTCTGCAGTTCTCTGGCGCGCCCTCTGTGATTTGTATGACCGTCGGGACATGGCATCTCTTCATGCCCTCTACCGTGACTTCAACGCTATCACCCTTGACACCTGCACCGGCGCAGCTGACTATACCCGTCGCCTCAACAACACAGCTCGGCGTCTTCGGGAGCGTGGGGCCACTATTGACGACCCCCTCCTCATTTGGCGCATCCTCGAGGGACTCACCCCGGCTTATGAGATGCACCGCATCGCCTACGACATTGTTCTCTCTCCCCACGCCACGGCTGCCGAAGTCACCACATGGGTCCTTGATACTGAAGCCAAGCTTACCCGCCAGTCCCCCTCCACCCTCAACTTCACACAGGGACGCGGAGGACGTGGGGGGCGTGGTGGCAAGGGTCGTGGTGGGGGGAGTGGCGGAGGCGGTGGTGGTCGAGGTGGAGGAGCTGGCGGTGGCGTTACAGGTGGGACGCCGGGAGGTGACGGGGGTGCTGGTCGCGGTGGACGCTCAGGGGGTTTCCCTCCTTGCTCCTATGTCATTCGACAGGGCCCCAACAAGGGCCAACGCTGCAACCAAACCACCCATCCTGCTGAAACCTGCTTCAAGGCCCTCAGTGATGAGTGGTTTGCTCGGGGCAACACAGGTACCCCTCCTCGCTGGGCCACTGTTACCCCTCGCCCCACTGTTCATGACGTTCGAACACTTCCCGCCTATCAGCCACCACCTTCTCAGCTCCACCAGACTCTGGCGAGTCACCTGCCTCCCCACCTCCTGCACCAGGTACAAGTCTTTCTTCCCCCCCTTCCAGACCCGCAGCCTCAGCAGCAGCAGCAGCAGCAGCAGCAGCAGCCGCAGCAGCAGCAGCAGCAGCGGCAGCAACAGCAGCAGCAGCAGATGCACCCGGGGTTCCAGGGCCTTCTGCCTATGCAGCAGCAGTACCTGGGGCCACAGCATCACCCGGGATTCCTGGGTCCCCCCCTCCTCCCTTATCCTCCTCAGCCACAGCAGCCCCTTCTCCAGCAGCAGCCATACTCTGGCTACCCCTCTGCCCCCCCCAGTGTCTCTGACACCCAAGGCAGTTTCCTTGGTCATGTTACCGCTGCACCCTCTGTCGCTTCCATGTATCCCTCTGCTATTAATGAGACGCTTTTCCAGTACTCCGTGTCACCTCCCCCTCCTTCCCCCCCCACCTTGGACTTTGTCCTTGATAGTGGGGCCACAGAAACTGCACTGAAGGATGCTGGCACCCTCACTCCCCTTCCTCTTCCCACTCAGGTTCACGGTGCCGACACCAGTTTTTCCGTCCCATGCACTCACCTCTCCACTCTACCTTGCACCGCTTTCCCATCTGGTACAGTCACAGGTCTCCACATCCCCACCCTTCGCAACAATCTCCTCTCCCACCGTGAGATACAAGGCGCTGGTATTACCGCTATTTACCCTGGTAATGCTTCTTACTGTGATCTCTACAACACTGCTTCTGGTCGCTTCCTCCTACGCATTCCCCTTTGTCCACGCACTCGCCTTTACACGCTCCGCACACCTCGTCCCTCCTTTTGTCAGGTCACCACTCGTGCTGGCACTTCCACCGGCCCCCCTCCCCCTCCCCCTCCCCCCCAGGTATCCTCCTCCCCTACGTCATCCCCCTCATCCTCCTCCCCCCCTCCTTCCCCCACTCCATCCCCCTCCTCCTCTAGTCACCTCTCCCACCCTGCTGTGCTCTTGCATCACAGATTAGGCCACCCAAACTTCGCTGCACTTCGCACTGCCATCACATCCCGCCTCCTCGACAGCCTCCCCCCCACTCTTCCTCCCCTCCCTTCCTCCCCCGCACCCCCATGCCCATCCTGCATTCATGGCAAACTCAAACAGTCTCCCCATCACAGCCATCCCACTTTCGCAGCTGCTCCCCTTGACCTTGTTCACATGGACCTGTGGGGCCCCTATCCCATCCGCTCTCGCCAGGGGCACCGGTACATGCTTGTCCTCGTCGACGACCACAGTCGGTACTCTACTGTCTTCTTCCTTCACACGAAGGATCAAGTGCCGGCTGTGGTCATTGCATGGGCTGAGCAGTGCCGCACACACTTTAAACGCCCCATCAGCCGCCTTCGTGGTGGGGGTGAGTTCCTCAATCACACCCTCGCCACTTACTGCAAAACCCGCGGCATTCAGCAGACCCACACCCTCCCCCATTCCCCTCAGCAACGGCATCGCTGAGAGTCGCATTCGTGAGATCACCAAGATTGCGCGCTGCCTTCTTGCTCACGCCTCCACCCCTCCTTCCCTCTGGAGCTATGCCCTCCTCCATGCTGCCCTCCTCCTTAATCTCCGCTCCCACCCTCAGCATTCCTCCTCCTCCCCCACAGAACTTTGGTCTAAGGCCAAGCCTGACGCTGCTGGCCTTCGCGTTTGGGGCTGCAAGGCGTTCGTCCTCATCCCTCCAGCCGATCGCTCCCGCACTGCTGGCAAGCTCGCCCCTCGCGCTCTGGAGTGCGTCTACCTTGGGCACAATCGCGATTCCCCAGGCTACCTATTCCTCCACCCTCCCACCAATCGCCTCATCCGCAGCATCGACGTCGTCTTCGACGAGTCCACTCCCTACTACTCCACTCCTCCTCCTGACCCTCTCCCTCCTCCCACTCGCCCCCTAGCTTGGACCGACACCGTCCTCCCGCCTCTTCTCCTTCCAGCGCCTCTCCTCCCCCCTGTCGCCGCCCCGCTCCCGCCTTCCTCCTCTGCCGACGTCTACGACCCTGCCGCACCCGCCTCTCCCGCTCACTCAGCTGCACCCCCTCCCCCCTCTCCCTCCGCCTCTCATTCTCCCCCTTTCCAGCAGCCGGCGCAGCAGCAGCAGCAAGGGCAGCAGCAGCAGCAGCAGCCGGGGCAGCAGCAGCAGCAGCAGCCGGGGCAGCAGCAGCCGGGGCAGCAGCAGCAGCCGGGGCAGGCGCAGCAGCAGCAACCGGGACAACAGCAGCAGCAGCAGCAGCAGCAGCAGCAGCAGCAGCAGGGGCAGCAACACCTGCAGCAGCAGCAGCGACGTGCAACTTCCCGCTCCTCCCCTTTCCTCCTTCCCCGCATGCACACCCGCTCCCTGGACAGACTCATTGGAGCCTCTCCTCCCGCCTCCATTCAGCTCCTCGAGGACTCCCATGAGGAGTTCCTCAACATTCGGCAACACACATCTTTCCTTGCCTCCCTCTACCTTGACTTCCTCGGCTTTCCCGTCCTTGGCGCCACCTCCACCCCAACCATCTTCACTCCCACCACCTTCCAAGAGGCCATCACTTGCCCTGACGCGGACAAATGGATAGCGGCGATCTTCTTGGAGTGTGAGGCATTTATTCGCAACGACTCCTTTGTCGATGTCCCCCTCCCAGCCGGCGCCAATCTCGTCGAGGGCAAATGGGTCTTTCGGGTGAAGCAGCTGCCGGGCGAGGAGCCGGTCTACAAGGCACGCTACTGTGCCAAGGGTTTCACGCAGACTTGGGGCAAGGATTTCTGGTTCACCTACGCCCCCACCGCCAAACCACCCACCTTTCGCGCAGCCCTCGACATTGGCGCACGTGACAACATGGAGATATGCTCCATGGACGTCTCCTATGCGTTCCTGCAGGGCGACCTGCACGAGCGCATCTTCCTCAGACGACCCCCTGGGTTCCATGCTGCCTTTCCAGAGAACACCGTCTGGCAGCTGCGTCGCCCTGTCTATGGCTTGAAGCAGGCGCCAAGGGAGTGGCACGCGAAGCTGTCTGCCACTCTGGGGTCCCTCGGCTTCTCTGCATCCCACTCCGATGCCAGCCTCTTCATTCGCTCCTCCCCTCGCCGCTTCTTCATTCTGGTGTATGTGGACGACATGATCCTCCTTTCTGACTCCAAGGTTGACATGGAGCAGATGAAGATGTCACTGCAGCAGCGTCTCAAATGCAAGGACCTGGGCGACCTCACGCACTACCTGGGCATGACCATCACGCGCGGTCGCCCTGCTCGCACCATCACCCTCTCCCAGTCCCACTACATCGGCCAGGTCTTGGAGAAGTTCGAGATGACGCAGGCCAAGCCCGTGTCCACCCCCCTCCCTTTCGGCCACCAGCTCGCTCCGCCCACTTCTCCCTCCTCCTCCCCTCACCCCTATGCCGAGCTCGTTGGGTCGCTGATGTACGCGATGATGTGCACCCGCCCCGACCTAGCCTACCCCATTAGCGTGCTCGCACGCTTTGTTGGTATCGGTCGTCACACTGAGGAACACTGGAAGGCTGCTAAGCGGGTCCTCCGCTACCTTCGTGGGACCAAGGACCATGTCCTCACCCTTGGCGGCCCCTCCCCTCCTCTCCTTTCGGGCTTCAGTGATTCCTCATTGGCTGACTCGCAGCCGGACCGTCGCTCCTCCCAGGGCTACGGTTTCACCCTTGGCAGCGGCCTTATCAGCTGGCGCTCCACCCGCTCCTCTGCCATTTCTCTCTCCACCTGCGAGGCCGAGCTCTACGCCGGCACCATGGCCGCACAGGAGTCCCGCTGGCTCTGCTTTCTTCTTGCCGAGCTTGGCGCCCCCCAGCCGTGCCCCACTCTCTGGTGTGACAACGCCAGCACCATCCACCTCACTCAAGATCCAGTCTATCACGCCCGCTCCAAGCACATCGAGCTCCGCTACTTCATCCGCGAGCTCGTCCAGCAAGGCCTCATTTCTGTTCGGAAGATTGCGGCGGAGGCCAACTTGGCCGACATCTTCACCAAGGCGCTCCTTCGCCCTGCGCACTCTGCTTTCCTCCGTCTCGTTGGCCTTGCTCGCCCGGGCGCCTCTTGATTCAGGGGTTGTTCTCTTCCTGTGTTCGCATGCTAAGGGGTTGTGTTAGAATCTATATATTATAGCATGCGAACACTTGTGACTGTACACCAAGAGTGGTGTACAGTTGGGTTGGTTCAGGCTCTAGTTTTGGGTGTACTATGGGTAGACACCCTAATTGGGGTGAACTCAAATATCTTAGCTTAGACTTGGCTCCAACCTTGTTGGCCAAGTGGAGCAACCAACTTTGGTTGGTTGGCCACCATCCCACTAGGGTTGGTTGGATGGTCCTTCCTCCCACTAGCCTACTTGGTCTTGGTGTCTTATGTGCTAGGTTTGGTCTTCTTCTCCAACCTTCTCTTCCTTGTATAACCTTGTGCTATTTTGAGCTAATGTTAACAATTCTTCCTCAACTTCCTATAGCTCATAGTTTCTTTCACCTGATGCCGGGGTAATCATGCTCCACATAAAAGCCAAAGGGACCGTTGCAGAGCAGCACAGTGCATCGTAAACGCTGTTAGAGCAAGCAAGTGCCTATCTCTCACCGTGCCCAGAGATGCCCTATCTCTGACCGTTGCAGAGCAGAGCAGAACAGTACATGGTAAACGCTGTTACAGCAAGCAATTCTCTCTCTCACCGTGCCCAATGATGCTCTGATGAGCCCGATGCCGGGGTAATCATGCTCCACATAAAAGCCAAAGGGACCGTTGCAGAGCAGCACAGTGCATCGTAAACGCTGTTACAGCAAGCAAGTGCCTATCTCTCACCGTGCCCAGAGATGCCCTATCTCTGACCGTTGCAGAGCAGAGCAGAACAGTACATGGTAAACGCTGTTACAGCAAGCAATTCTCTCTCTCACCGTGCCCAATGATGCTCTGATGAGCCCGATGCCGGGGTAATCATGCTCCACATAAAGCCAAAGGGACCGTTGCAGAGCAGCACGGTTCCCCCCTCTGGGTGTGGCCCCTGTGTATGAGAGTGAAAGGGAGTAAAGTGCCAGGGGAATGAGAAGGACAGCAGGTATAAAACCCGAAGGGACCGTTGCAGAGAAGCACAGTGCCCCCCTCTGGGTGCGGGCCCTGCGTGTGGAGTGTGTGCAAGAGAAAGGGAGGGAGTGAAAAATCAGGCGTGGAGTGGGTGAGACGAAAGAGGTTCAGCAGGAAGGCAAGGAGAAGGAGTGTCTTGACAAGAGCAGCCGCGACAGTGCACTGAATGAACGGATGCGCCGTGAGATGTGCTGAATGAAGAGAACACAACAAGGCGACCTAATCAAAGACTTACGATGGTCCGAGGGAAGGCGAGCAGCTCGAGAGCCTTGGGAAGGTCAACGGCGTCTGGATGGGTGCCCTGCAAGAGGGGGGGAGTGAATTGGAGGCGTGAAGGGGAGAGGTGAGGGCAGAATGCAGGCTTAGGGAGGGAGGGGGAGGGGAGAGGAGGGGGCAGGACAGAGAGGAAAGGCAAGCGGGGGCACGAGGGCGAAAAGGCGAGCCTTGGAGGAACGCGAGGAGCTCGAGAGCCTTGGGAAGGTCAACCGAGTCTGGGTGGGTGCCCTGGGAAAAAGAGGAGGGAATAGGGCAGGACAGGCAGGGAAGGCGGAGTGCGGGCCATGAGGGCGAGAAGCGAGGAGGTCGAGGGCCTTGGGAAGATCAACTGAGTCTGGATGTGTTCCCTGAGAGGGAGAGGAGGGGACGGGACATGCGGGGAAGGCGGAGTGGGAGGGGCGCACACGAGAAGGTGAGGGCAGATGTCAAGCCTTGGGAGAAGGTGAGAGGCTCGAGGGCCTTGAGAAGGTGGACCGAGTCTGGGTGCGTGCCCTGCCCTGGGAGGGAGAGGAGGGAACAGGACAGGACATGACAGGACAGGGAAGGCGGAGTGGGAGGGGCACACACGAGAAGGTGAGGGCAGATGTCAAGCCTCGGGGGAATGGGAAGAGCTCGAGGGCCTTGGGAAGGTGGACCGAGTCTGGGTGCGTGCCCTGCCCTGGGAGGGGGGGGAGGGGGCCGACCGAAGGTTAGGAGGTCGAGGGCCTTGGGGAGGCCGACCGAGTCTGGGTGCGTGCCCTGGGAGGGGGAGGAGGGGACAGGACAGGACAGGCATGGAAGGCAGCGTGGGGGCCATGAGGGCAATAAGCACAGGGGTTGAAGGGCTTTGGGAAGGTCAAGTCAACCGATTCTGGGTGCGTGCCCTGGGAGGGGGAGGAGGGGACAGGACAGGACAGGCATGGAAGGCAGAGTGGGGGCCATGAGGGCAATAAGCACAGGGGTTGAAGGGCTTTGGGAAGGTCAAGTCAACCGATTCTGGGTGCGTGCCCTGGGAGGGGGAGGAGGGGACAGGACAGGACAGGCATGGAAGGCAGAGTGGGGGCCATGAGGGCAATAAGCACAGGGGTTGAAGGGCTTTGGGAAGGTCAAGTCAACCGATTCTGGGTGCGTGCCCTGGGAGGGGGAGGAGGGGACAGGACAGGACAGGCATGGAAGGCAGAGTGGGGGCCATGAGGGCAATAAGCACAGGGGTTCAAGGGCTTTGGGAAGGTCAAGTCAACCGAGTCTGGATGCGTGCCCTGGGAGGGGGAGGAGGGGACAGGACAGGACAGGCATGGAAGGCAGAGTGGGGGCCATGAGGGCAATAAGCACAGGGGTTCAAGGGCTTTGGGAAGGTCAAGTCAAGCGAGTCTGGTGCGTGCCCTGGGAGGGGGAGGAGGGGACAGGACAGGACAGGCATGGAAGGCAGAGTGGGGGCCATGAGGGCAATAAGCACAGGGGTTCAAGGGCTTTGGGAAGGTCAAGTCAACCGAGTCTGGATGCGTGCCCTGGGAGGGGGAGGAGGGGACAGGACAGGACAGGCATGGAAGGCAGAGTGGGGGCCATGAGGGCAATAAGCACAGGGGTTCAAGGGCTTTGGGAAGGTCAAGTCAACCGAGTCTGGATGCGTGCCCTGGGAGGGAGAAGAGGGGAGTGAGTGATGGAAAAAGAGAGAACAAAGGGGGGAGTGAGTGAGAGGCGTATGGTGGAGAAGGGATCGAGCGTGTTGGGAAGGCGAGGAGCTCGAGAGCGTTGGGGAGGTCAGAATTGGGGGAGGTAAGGATTGAGGGAGGTAAGCATTGGGGGAGGTAAGGATTGAGGGAGGTAAGCATTGAGGGAGGAAGTGGAATCGCGGACTGGGAAAGGCAGGGTAGGCACTTACTGGCGGCAGAGACGCTCTGTTGACTTTGGAGACCTTGCCGTACGACAAACGTTCAACATATGGGGGGAGTAGGAAGGGTAGGCGTTACCTGGGGTAGGCACTTACTGGCAGCAGAGACGCTCTGTTGACTTTGGAGACCTTCCCGTACGACAAACGTTCAACATATGGGGGGAGTAGGAAGGGTAGGCGTTACCTGGGGTAGGCACTTACTGGGGGCAGAGACGCTGTGTTGACTTTGGAGACCTTGCCGTACGACGAGCGTTCAACGTAGGCTCCGTAGGGACCCACTTTGAGCCAGATCTGTGAGCGATACCTGAAGCTTGGGTGGGTGATACCTGGTGTAGTAAGGTTCTTACTGGAGGCAGGGAGGCTCTGTTGACTTTGGAGACCTTGCCGTAAGACGACCGTTCAACGTATGCTCCGTAGGGACCCACTTTGAGCCAAATCTGTAGGGTTGCAAGAAGAGGAGACGAAGAGAGGAAGAGGCGAAAGGAACAGCGCGTAGAGGTCAGTAGAATAGAGATAACAGAGTCTGTCTTTGAGCCAGACCTGTAAGCGCACCCACACCACACACGGTACGACGCGCAGAGAAGATGAGAGAAGAGAAGAGACGGAGAGAGGAAGAAATAGTTGAGGCAAGCACCACAAGCTGACTCTGAGACGGACCTCTTACAGCTCAGCCACCCATTGAAACCCACAACTCACCTTAGCCCCTGTGCTTGGATCTTCCCCTATTATGTGTGCCACGGGATCGATTGCCACGGCCAGAGTTCCCGCCTTCCCCTCCTGCTCCACCACTCGGGCCTTAAAGCTGTAGGCAGGGGAGGGTAGGGAAGGGTGCGATCAAACAGAGTGGCGAGAGTTCGCTTCACTCCACTCAATAGTCGATTGCCACTGCTAGAGTACCTGCCTTCCCCTCCTGCTCCACCACTCGGGCTTTAAAGCTGCAGGCAGGATAGGATGGCGCGAGAAGAGTGTATACGATGTTGTGGAGTGATGCTGAGAAGACTAAACACGCAATCAGGACGGACGAGACAAGAGACAAAGGTGGTTGTAGAGGCGTCTCGAGAACTGAGTGATCAAGTCAAGACGACGTGCAATCAGGACACAACAAGGGACAAAGATGGAGCAGAAAATCGACGTGGCGGACGACTTTTGAGAATTCTGAAAAGCGATTCCAACATATGTGTCGGACGACCGTCAGTTTCGTGCTGCTGCACGGCGTAAACGACAGAGCAGAGCAAAGCATGGGGGATGGCACTGACTGGCATGTGGGGTAGGCGGAGCAGCCGACAAAGAGGCCCACGCCCCGGCTGGAAAAGTTGTATTCTAACTCGCCGCTGCCACAGCTGGTGGTGGGGTGTGGTGGGGTGTGGTGGGAGGAAGACAGAGAGGCGAGGGGTTGAAGAGGGGTGAGGAGGACGGGAGTATTGTTGGCAGCCAACAAAAAGCACACTCGTCGGCTGGAGAAGTTAAAATCCAACTCGCCACTGCCAAAGCTGGTGAGATGGGGAGTGGAGAGAGAGTGGTGGGGGGGTTGAGGTAAGCGGTTGAGAGGGTTGAGGTGGAGTAGAGTGCAGTAGGCAGCCAACAAAAAAGCACACTCGTCGGCTGGAAAAGTTGAACTCCAACTCGCCGCTGCCACAGCTGGGAAGTAAGGAGTGTGTATGGGGGAAGGGATGGATGGGGAGTGAGGCGTGCTATAGGCACACGAAAAAGAGGCCCACTCCCCGGCTGGAGAAGTTGAGCTCCAACTAGCCGCTGCCACAGCTGGTGGTTTCAAAGAGGGTGTGTGGGGTGTGGATTATTTTGTTCTTTTCCTTTTTGTATGCAAGGCATTGTGTACGGAAATAGATTGGAGGCAATTAGTACAAGGAAATGTATGCAAGGCAATGTGTGCATTATTCTCAGGATTCTCGCACCTTGGGCATGTCTTGGAGTGTGAGGGTGTTGACAATGCCGACGGTGGTGATTCATGTGCTTCAGAGAGTGATGATGGTTCCGATGATTGGGATGGCGAGGAGGAGTATTTTGAGGCGCCTCAAAATACACCTCACTGCACGCGGAATTCTCGCACCTCGGGCATGTCTTGGAGTGTGAGGGTGTTGACAATGCCGACGGTGGTGATTCATGTGCTTCAGAGAGTGATGATGGTTCCGATGATTGGGATGGCGAGGAGGAGGAGGAAGAGGAGGAGGACGGGGAGGAGGAGGAGGAGGAGGGAAGAGCAGGAGCGCGGGCTTTGGCCAGTACTTCAGAGTAGGTCTCTGCTGCTTCCACCAGCAGCCCATCGCCTAGTGTGACCTGCACTGCCGACCCCACCTGAGGGAACAGAAGGTACACAGCAAGGTAGGGCATGGAAGGCAGGCTGTAAGGGAAGGACTTGGGTGGGAGCACGTCTCTGCTGCTTCCACCAGCAGCCCATCGCCTAACGTCACTTGCACTGCCGAGCCCACCTGCCAAAGGAGTTTACGTGGTAGGAAAGGGTAAGGGAGTAGACAGTAAAGAACTTGGGCAGTCCTTTAGAGTAAGTCTGTGCTGCTTCTACCAGCAGCAGCATCGCCTACCAAAGGAGTTTGCATAGTAGGACGGGGAAGGGAGCAAGTGTTCATACCAAAAGACTTTTGAGGCGCGTCAAAAGTCGACCCCACCTACCAAAGGAGTTTGCATAGTAGGACGGGGAAGGGAGCAAGTTTTAATACCAAAAGCCGTCAGCACACTTCCTCTCCTAATCCTCTCCCCTCCTCTCTCTAATCCAGCACTCACCGCTTGCGGTGACAGATTGTGCATTTCCTCCACTCCACAATGAGTTAGTGGTACCAGCTTGATCCAAATGCATGCACTCTCGCACGCTTCATTTTCACCTCTCTCCTGTTACCTCCTCTCTCCTCTTCAGCACTCACCGCTTGCGGTGACAGCTTCTGCATTTCCTCCTAGGTTGGAAGTACCACCGGCTCGATCCAAGCGCACACTCTTGCATGCTCGTTTCCTCTCTCCTCTCCTCCTACCTACCTTCTCCCTCCTCTCCACCACTCACCGCTTGCGGTGACAGCTTGTGCATTTCCTCCACTCTCGGCTGGAAGTCGGTCCAGAAGGTTCTGAGAACCTGACGCCAGTCCTCCTCTCCTGCTGCCACGTCATCAAACTGCAACGAACGGGAGGGGAGCAGGATTGATGAGCAGCAGATGGATTTAAACTGAGCAGTGAAGCTAGCAGTCACGCATGGTTCCATTCCATAAAGTGGAGGAGGAGAGAGCACAGTAGTTGTGTTATTACCGGATAATGTTGTTCACACATTATCCGGATAATGCAGTGAGCAGGTGAGTGGGTGCTGTGCGTTCAAGTGTGGTAATAAACCTATTGTTTGTACGTTACACTACCTGCCTTGGATTCGAGCTGGGCAGTGATTCTGACACTCACATACGGCTCCATGAAGTGAAGTGGGTGAGAAGAGAGCGCAGTATGGGGGCAGGTAATGTGGGCAGTGTGGAGAGTGCTTGCAGTAATATCCCTGTGCTCGAAGCAGGTATGTGCTCTGTCTGTCTCGTCTTGCCTGTGCATTGCCTACCTTGGACTCCAGCTGGGCAGTGAACCCCGCATTCACATACGGTTCCATGAAGTGCAGGAGAAACGCGTTGGCCTGTTTGGAATATGCATGCACAACAGTGGGCAGATAGACACACATACACACGGGTATCAACACTGGATTCAAGCTGGGCAGTGAACCCCGCATTCACATATGGCTCCATGAAGTGCAGGAGAAACGCGTTGGCCTGTTTGGAATATGCATGCACAACAGTGGGCAGATAGCCACACATACACACGGGTATCAACACTGGATTCAAGCTGGGCAGTGAACCCCGCATTCACATATGGCTCCATCCATCCATGATGTGGAGGAGAAACGCGTTGGCCTGTATGCATGCAGCATGGTCGGGCAACAAGGGGGGCAGACACACGCAAACACGGGTATCATTAACACTGGATTCGAGTTGAGCAGTGAACCCCGCATTCACATATGGCTCCATCCATCCATGATGTGGGTGGAGGGGAAACGCGTTGGCCTGTTTGGAATATGGTTAAGGAGCAGAGCAGACACATGTGCACAGTGAATTAGAGGTCAAGAAGGTGACTTTTGAGTCGACTCAAAAGTCACCTGTTTGGAATATGGTTAAGGAGCAGAGCAGACACATGTGCACAGTGAATTAGAGGTCAAGGAGGCAACGCGTGTCACTTGTGATTGTGAGACAAACAGAGAACGGTCAAGGAGCAGACTTTTGAGGCGCCTCAAAAAAGGCAAACGGGCCAACGCGTGTCACTTGCGAGACAAACAGAGAACGGTCAAGGAGCAGACTTTTGAGGCGCCTCAAAAAAGGCAAACGGGCCAACGCGTGTCACTTGCGAGACAAACAGAGAACGGTCAAGGAGCAGACTTTTGAGGCGCCTCAAAAAAGGTCAAGGGGCCAACGCGTGTCACTTGCGAGACAAACAGAGAACGGTCAAGGAGCAGAGAAGACACACACCTAACAGGGTTGCAGAGTTTTGAGATGACTGGCTTTGAACAAATCATACCTGTCTGTACCCGCCCCCTTTCTGACATGAGACGACGTTTGAGGCGCCTAAAAAGTTGCAGAGTTTTGAGATGACTGACATTGAACAAATCATACCTGTACCGTACAGCCCCCTTTCTGTAAGATACAAAGTGCAAAGGGTGCCTCAACCAACCCCAATTTGGAAGAGGCTTCTTGCTGCATGGATGAAGTGGTGAAAGGAGGGGAAGGAGACCGCCTGGTCTGCGAGCGATGCACTCCTTGCACCTGCAGCTCACTCCCTTCCACCAGCACTGCCGCTGCCAGTGCCCTCTCTCCATCCCTTATCCCCCCCTCCACTTCTGCTGCTGCTGCTGCTGCCTTTTCATCCCCTTCTTTTCCTTCTTTCGCATCTTTTGCTTCTTTCCCTTCTTTTGTTTCTTTCGCTCGTCTCGCTCCTGCTCCTGCTCCTCCCCCTGCCCCTGCTCCTACAGGTTCCCCAAAGAGATGGGTGAGTCTAGCTGGAAACGACAGGGGAGCATCACTCCCCACTCCTGCTCCTGCTTCTTCCTCTCTTCCTCCTCCTCCTCCCACTCCTCCTTCTGCTCCTACTTCTCTACCCCTCCCTGCCAGCTTCCTTTCCAGAAGCCCTTTCGAGCTTTCAAGCAGCGTACTCTTGGTTTGACACGCCTGCACCATGGCACTCACAGTCCAATACTCCTGCGTGTTAAACCCCGCCACCTCGCCCTCTCTCTCGCACACAAACCGCAACGCCACCGACTGAACACGCCCTGCGGATTTGCACCCAGGAAGCTTCCTCCAGAGCACAGGCGACAGGTTAAAGCCCATGAGAAAATCTAAAACCCTGCGGGCAAAGTATGCGTCTACTAGGGGTTGGGAGAGCAGCCGGGGATGGGAGAGGGCTGAGAGGACGGCGGATGGGGTGATCTCGTGGAAGGTGGCTCGGTGGATCGTGAGATCGCAGCCGTTAGATCCGGCGGCCGGGAGGAGCCACTCGTCGTTGGATGGAGAGGGGAGGTGGGAGGGAGAGAGGGGATGGGAGGATGGTGACGACGATGATTCTTGCGTCAGTTCAAGAGCTGAAGCTGGTGCTGCTGATGATGATGATGGTGTTGATGATACTGACAGTGGGGACGAATCAGATCTGCTGCTGCTGCTGCCACTGCTGCTGCTGCTGCTGCTGCTGCTGCTGCCTGCTCTGCGTCTGCTTTCCTTCAGCTCCTTCCTAACCTCCCCTAGTAGCTCCTCCACCTCCAACCACCCGTGCTCCCCCTCCTGCTCCCCATGCTCCCCTCCTCCTTGCTGCTTCAACCCTTCGCCTTGCAACCCACCCACACCACCACCAGCGTTAATAGACGGCCCCTCTAATCCCTCCGACCCTCCTGCTTCGGGAATCGACAGGTTCGACTCTGCAGCAGCAGCTCCAGTGGAGAACAGGTCGGATTCCCCCTCCCACCCCTCTGCACCTTGTAGCACCGCGCCTTCCTCCTCTGCTGCCTCCTGTGCCTCTGCTGCCAATTGCTCCTCTATAAGAACAGCCTGTTGGTGTCACGAGGGGAGAAGGAAACATTAACGAAAAAAAAAAAAAAAAAAAAAAAAGGAGAAAGATCACTGGGTGCAGGATGAGGGGTGAACGAATCACGAGGGGAAAAAAGAAAGAAACTGTATGGGTATAATGGACCTAACATACATCAGATGTAATACTCAAGCCTCTTCTACCAACCCCCCTCCCTCCCCCCACCTTCCCTTCTCCCTCCTTCACTCACCTGTTGCACCATCTTCTCTCTCCGCTGCTCCTTCTCCCTCTGCTGCGCCTCTGCTTTCCTCCTCGCCGCAGCAGCCCCTTTGAGGTCTTGGGACGCCTCAAGACTCACTCACTCTCCCCCCTCTTCCCCTTTTCTTCCCTCCCCCACTCACCTGCTGCACTATCTTCTCTCTCCGCTGCTCCTTCTCCCTCTGCTGCACCTCTGCTCTCCTCCTCGCCGCAGCAGCCCCCTTGAGGTTCTGGGACGTCTCAAGACGACTCACTTTCCCACCCACCATCCCTCTTTGCCCTCTGTCGTTGACTCACCTGCTGCACTATCCTCTCTCTCCACTGCTCCTTCTCTCGCTGCTGCGCCTCTGCTCTCCTCCTGGCCGTAGCAGCGGCCTTCAAGACTCACTTACTCCCCCCTTCTTCCTCCTTCACTCACCTGCTGCACCATCTTCTCTCTCCGCTGCTCCTTCTCCCGCTGCTGCGCCTCTGCCCTCCTCCTTGCTGCAGCAGCCCCCTTGAGCAGCTGGTACACGTGCCACGCGATCGCCTCCCCCTCCCTGTCCGCGTCTGTTGCCAATACCACTCCCTGAGATCTGCAAGGGGAGAGAGGAGGAGTAAATGAAGCGGGAAGAGAGGAGGCCAATGCCAGCACCACTAGCAGCAGCCCCCTTGAGCAGCTGGTACACGTGCCACACGATCGCCTCCCCCTCCCTGTCTGCGTCTGTAGCAAGCACAACTCCTTGTAACCTGGGTTGAGGGAGAGAGGAGAACGGGAAGTCAGCAGCAGCAGCAGCCCCCTTGAGCAGCAGCAGCCCCCTTGAGCAGCAGCAGCCCCCTTAATCAGCAGCAGCCCCCTTAATCAGCAGCAGCCCCCTTAATCAGCAGCAGCCCCCTTAATCAGCAGCAGCCCCCTTGAGCAGCGAGGGGAATTGGCAGCTTACCTAAAGGCTTCAAGGGCTATCCCTCGGGAGTGCCGCACAGCCTGGGGCAGGATGCGCCAGTCGATGGCGAAGTCACCTTCAGGGGAGACAACATTGTGTTGACTCGCGTTGACTTGTGCTGACCGAACTCACAACACTCACCTGAACGCAGCAAGGGCTATGGCTCTGAAGTGTGGCACAGCCTGGGGCAGGATGCGCCAGTCGATGGCGAAGTCAGCTTCAGGGGAGACAGCATTGTGTTGACTCGCGTTGACTTGTGCTGACCGAACTCACAACACTCACCTGAATGCAGCAAGGGCTATGACTCGGAAGTGTGGCACAGCCTGGGGGAGGATTCGCCAATCTAAGTCAGCTTCAGGCGAGACAGCATCCACCTTATTGGGCACATCCCTCACATGCCCATGCGCTGATGTGCGTTGACTCGCGTTGACTGGAGTTGACCAGCACGCTTTTCTCACCTGAATGCAGCAAGGGCAATGGCTCTGAAGTGAGGCACGGCCTGAGGCAGTATTCTCCAATCAATGGCGAAATCAGCCTCGGGCGAGACAGCGTCCACCTTGTTAGGCACATCCCTCACATGCCCATGCGCCTGTGTGAATTGACCTGTGTTAAAAATACTTGACTAGTGTTGACCGGCTCACCTGAATGCGGCCAAAGCAATGGCTCTAAAGTGGGGAACAGCCTGGGGAAGGATGCGCCAGTCAATGGCGAAATCAGCCTCGGGCGAGACAGCACCCACCTTGTTAGGCACATCCCTCACATGCCCATGCGTCGACTCGTGTTGACCAACACTCACCTAAAGGCGGCCAGAGCAATGGCTCGGAAGTGCGGCACGGCCTGGGGTAGGATTCGCCAGTCAATGGCGAAGTCAGCTTCAGGGGAGACAGCATCCACTTTATTAGGCACATCCCTCACATGCCCATGCGTCGCCAGCACCGAAAACTCTCTCCTCCTCCCCCTCACTCCCCCTGTGCCTCCTGTTGCTCCTACTGCTCCTCCTGCTGCTACTCCCTCTGCTGCTCCTGCTGTAACGAGGCTTAAGGGGGGCTCGGGATCAGAGGCTAAATGCTGGAGGTAACCCTGAATTGTGCGGGCTTTGGAGGGGGATTCCACCACGACCAGCCATCGCTCCACCTCCTCCCTTCTGCTTGCACGAGTGGCCCTACCACTAGCACCACCAACACCACCAGCACTAGTAGTAGTGGTATAGACCGCATTTGCACCCAGAGCAGTGGGAGTGAGCGACACTCTGCTTACTTCTGCCTCTGCTGCTGCTGCTGCTGCTGCTGCTGCTCCTGAAACCGCTGATTCTGCTGATTCTGCTGACTCTGCTGCTGCACCAGGCGTTGCTGCGTCAACTGCACCTGCTGGTTCAGCCGTACCAACCGCCTTACTCCCTGCCTTCCTCTTTGTCTTCTTGCCCGTTGCTTTCCCCAAACCCTCCACCGCGTCTGCTGTGCCTGCTCGTGCTGCTGCTTCTCCCGCTTCTGCTGCTGCTGCTGCTGCTGCTGCTGGCGTTGCAGCGTCCAGTACCTTTTCGCTCTTCCTCTCACCCTTACTCACTGCCTTCCTCGTGTCCTCTTCGTCACCCCTACACCCTCTGCTTCTGCGCCTGCTGCCGCTTCTCCCGCTTCTGCTGCTGCTGCTGCTGGCGTTGCAGCGCCCAGTACCGTTTCGCTCTTCCTCACTGCCTTTCTCCTTGGGCTCTTCACCTTCTCCTCTCGCGGGCCCTCCACGCCCTCTTCTCCCTTCCTCCTCCCTTCTGCTGCTGCCACTGGTATTGCAGCGCCCAGTACCGATTCACTCTTACCCTCATCCTTCCTCACAGCTTTTCTCCTTGAACTCTTCACCTTCTCCTCTCCTGGGCCCTCCTCCCCCTCTTCTCCCTTCTTCCTCCCTTTTGAAGCCTTCTTCTTTCCCACAACCGCATCTGCTGACTCGGCAGCAGCTGCTGACTCTGCACCAGATGCTGACTCGGCAGCATTTGCTGACTCAGCACGTATTGCAGAGCAGCACAGTGGTCTTGTGCTGCAGGTACCACCGCCGATCTTGGGTCTACTACCAGAGAAGCCATTCGTGTTAGTCACATTCGATACAATGCTGCTGCTGGGACGGCTACCGCTGCTGCTGTAGCCACCGCTGCTGCTGCTGCTAGCGCCGATTCTGAATCCACTGCCAATGAATCCGTTGCTGCTGCAAGCACAAACCTTGGACATACCGATGCTGCTGCCATTGACACTGCTGCCATTGACAATACTGCACCGACTAACGGTAGCGCTGCCAACGATGATACTAGAACTGGGATTGACCCTGCCGCTGCTAGTGCTAAAACGGCTAATAACGCTGCTCTTGGTGCTACTACTCAATCTATTACCGGGACTAATGCTAATGCTGACGATTCCACTATTCAATGTACTAATTAATCTACTGCTACTGCTACTAGCGCTGACACTGCCACTACTCCGCACAGCAGCCGCGCCGCTCTCCCAGATCAGCATCAGCGCGTCGCGTCTGACTATCAAGCGGTTAATGCGCCTCGCATACGGGGAAAGAGCAGGCATCCCTCGATATTGCCGCTGCCGCTAGAGTTGCCGCCGCCGCTAGTGTCGCCGTTACCGCTGGAGTGTTGCTGTTACCACTAGCGTGTTACCGTTACGGTTACCCGCTCCCGACCAACATCCAGCTATCAAACGATCAACGCAGCGCAGATACCGGGGAGCACCCTCGATTCCACGTGGATCGTCTCCCCTTCCACGTGTATCCGGATCAGCGGGTGTACAGCGTGAATCACGCCATGACGTCCGGAGATGGAGCGGTACACTGCGGTGATTCGTGTTTCCAGGCGATTCTGAGCGTGGCTCTCCTGTGAAGTGTCGCCGCGAATGTACCGTCAGAGCTCCCGTCAGGTCTCCCGACTTGCTCTATCGGTATTAATCCCTTTCATGCGGCGGATACCACGGAAGGGAGGGCAGGCATTACCAAGGTCTGGGGGTTATCCGCGGTCTAACACATAAGGGGCAGACCAGCGGAATTTTCGTGTATTACCCTCCTCGGTAAGAATGCTATGCTAAATTACAGTGCGAGATGAAGGTTACATCTCTATTGTGTAGAGTGGGTACAAGAAATATGAAACTCACCCAATATAGTGCTTCGTTATATTTCAAAAATATCTGTAACGGCAATCGAGGCCGTGCAAATCGAAGATCATGTCCAAGCCCCCCCCAACACGAAGAGTTACAACACGGTTTCTAAAGGCCTCAGAACGGTAAACTGCGATACACTTATTCTTCGCCCCAACCCCAAACCTCAGGATTACCCCACATCATCTTTCTGACCACTTTCTTTCCCTCCCTCTCCTCAAACCTTCGTCCGTCTCTTCAAATCTGCATTCTAGCCATTCTCCTGATTCCTTTCATTCCCTTCTCGGGATTGCCGTTTTTCCCCAAGCCTCGTTTGTACGCGACGAGTGCCGAATCACCCAACGTTAGTGTGTCTCCTGCGTCGCCGGAGATTTTTTTTTTTCAGATCTCGTCTCCTTCGTCTCGGTATATTTCGTCCAGGATTTGAGCTGGTCCGAGGTCTTCATCCCACTCTCACGCACACTCTCCGTGCATCTCGAAAGTCGTTACTCCGCTGATTTAGGGTTACGCCATGGCTGACGACGAAAATGTTCCGACCGTCTCAGACGTGAGTGAATCCTCCTTAGTCTCTACCTTTCGGCCTCACATATGAAACGCATTTCCGACAGCTCTCCGATTTTAGATAAGTACCATTCGGCGTTATCTCTCTCTGTGTTTGACATTAGGTCGGGTTGTTCGATCAAGCTCTGGATAACCAACGACTGGTGTGTGTGCGTTTCCGTAATAAGCTGGTGTTGTCCATTCCATCCGTTTCCTGGGTTCAGGTCTATTTTTGAGTCGACTCAAAAATAGGCGTAATAAGCTGGTGTTGTCCATTCCATCCGTTTCCTGGGTTCAGGTCGGATCGTTTGATCTAAGCAAGAAGAAGAAGAAGAAGAAAAAGGATCGGTCTGCGGAGGAGGAAGCCGCTGACTTGGCAGAAGTCGCCGAGAAGGTCGAAGACTTGTCAGGTAGGATCAGTTCAATAAAATTAAAACCCGCGGGCCAAGGTATTCAAGCTTAGGAAGGCTGGTTGGGAGTGAGGACGGTAATTGCCCGTGAGCCAATAGGAGTGTCAAAGTTGTTGGACGAGGTGGTAGAAACTCGGGAAAATCACGGGCGATTTTGGGACACCCAACCAACACTAGGAAGGATGAACCAAAGTTGGCCTTCTTGGCCCCCGGGTTTTAAGATCGGTAGGACGGAGATCATTTACATGAGACCCCCGTTAGCTCGTCGATCTATGTCATGTATTCTGCTCAAAAGCTTTTCCACCTCTGGTCATTTTTTTGTCGGTACTTGGGGCTTATTTTTCTTAAGATTACACGTTCGCATTACCTTTCTTCTCTTTTCTCCCTTTCTGCTCTTTTCTTTTTTCCCGTCCCCTTACTTTTCCCCTTCCCTTCCTGAGTGCAGTAGAAGACTCCGTTGTGCCTGTGGACTTCGGTGCGAAGAAGAAGAAGAAAAAGAAGCCGCAGGTAGGTTCGTTGTTGAGAATTCTCAGGAGTGACACAGAATTTAGGCTCCCTGTGGTGCCTTTAAGAGCTCGTTGAGCCTACTGAGAAGGTGTTTGACAAACGTAATGAAGCTTTTTGTAACTTTGTTTTGGAGCATTTTCAAGGGTAAGAGCTAGTACCGACAGCTGACGGGAGAATGGAGACAGCGGCGGCAGAGGGAGCAGCAGCATGAGAAGGGGTTAAATCTCTCACTCACATGCGTTTGTGTTTCTTCTTCCCTGTTTTTGCAGGCTGACGGGGAGGCCGCAGAGGGGGAGAAGGAGAACGACGCGGCGGAGGAGGGAGCAGCGGGGGAGGAAGGGGAAGGACTGGAATTGAAGCTGGAGAAGAAGAGAAAGAAGAAGCCGAAGCAGCGCACGGAGGAGGAGGTGGTGGAGGCTTGGAGCTCATTCTTTTTCTTTCCTTTCCCTGCGTTTACAGGCTGACGGGGAGGCCGCAGACGGCGAGAAGGAGAACGATGCAGCAGAGGAGGGAGCGGCCGGGGAGGAAGGGGAAGGACTGGAATTGATGCTGGAGAAGAAGAAAAAGAAGAAGCCGAAGCAGCGCACGGAGGAGGAGGTGGTGGAGGCTTGAAGTTCATTCTTTCTCTTTCCTTTTTCTGCGTTTACAGGCTGACGGGGAGGCCGCAGACGGCGAGAAGGAGAACGAGGCGGAGGGGGAGGAAGCGGCGGGGGAGGAGGGGGAAGGACTGGATTTGAAGCTGGAGAAGAAGAAAAAGAAGAAGCCGAAGCAGCGCACGGAGGAGGAGGTGGTGGAGGCTGAGGAACACGCCAAGGCTGCTGAGGAGGACGAGGAGGAGGAGGACGAGGAGGGCGCGGGAGAGGGGGAGGAGGATGAGGAGGCGGAGGGGATCGAGCTTGGAGGGCCCACGAAGCTTCCGTGGGAGGGGACGGACCGGGATTACAAATATGAAGAGGTGGGTTGAAGTGCTTGGAGGCGGGTGGGAGTGGGGAGGGATGGAGAGAGGATGGGAGGGGGAATTGGGGGGGAGTGGGAATGGGAATGGGAATGGGAGTGAGAGTGGGAGTGGGAGTGGGAGTGGGCATGGGAATGAGAATGGGATTGGATTGGGAATGAGAATGGGAGTGGGATGGGAATGGGATCAGAATGGGAATGGGAGTGGGAGTGGGAATGTGAATGGGAATGGGAATGGGAATGGGAATGGCACACACGGAGGCCTCGATCTGGCTGCTGCAGGAGGGTCTGTATCAGGATAAATGCCGTTCTGGAACAGAGGCCGTGCCGGCTTTTTAGAATTCTCAGAAATGGGACGAATGCCTTGCCAGCTGTCTGCCGTTCTGTCCTTCCTTTCCCGCTCCCCCTCCCCTCCCACGCCCCCACCATCGGCTAATGAACTGTCTGTTCAACCTTGATTAAACAATCGACCCTGAGCTTCCTGAGAGATTTTGTGCTGCCACGCCTTTCCAGTTGCCTCCCTCCTCTTCTCCTTTCTCCTTCCGTTTCTAATACCTGCCCTGCACACTCGCAGCTCCTGGGTCGTGTGTTTAACATCCAACAACCCTGAGCTGGCCGGGGACCGTCGCCGAACCGTGCCTTACTGGCTGTCTCCTGTTCTCCTCCCACCCCACCCCCCCGTCCGTCCCTCTTTACCCCCCTTTTTCCCTTCCTTCCTCCTCCAACAAACTGTCCCCTCACAGCTCCTGGGCCGTGTGTTCAACATCCTGAGAGAGAACAACCCTGAGCTGGCTGGAGATCGTCGCCAAACCATGCCTTACTGGCTGTCGCCTGTTCTCCTCCCTCCCACCCCACCCCTCCATCTGCCCCTCTTTACCCCCCTTTTTCCCTTCCTTCCTCCTCCAACAAACTGTCCCCTCACAGCTCCTGGGCCGTGTGTTCAACATCCTGAGAGAGAACAACCCTGAGCTGGCTGGAGATCGTCGCCAAACCATGCCTTACTGGCTGTCGCCTGTTCTCCTCCCTCCCACCCCACCCCCCCGTCCGTCCCTCTTTACCCCCCTTTTTCCCTTCCTTCCTCCTCCAACAAACTGTCCCCTCACAGCTCCTGGGCCGTGTGTTCAACATCCTGAGGGAGAACAACCCCGAGCTGGCTGGAGATCGTCGCCGAACCATACCTTACTGGCTGTCTCCTGTTCTCCTCCCTCCCACCCCACCCCTCCATCTGCCCCTCTTTCACCCCCTTTTTCCCTTCCTTCCTCCTC